ACCTCAAAGTCAAAAGAGACTTCTGCCTTGATGTTATCTATTTTCTCCCGTTCAAGGGCATTGGTTTCTGATGCACCAGTAAAACCCGTCAGAGAGGTTAAACTAAACCCATGTCACTTATGTCATACATTTGAATTGAAGTCACTTTTTAAGTGACATGGATTTGATAACTTAAGTCTAGTACGGGGTTCTAGAATTTAGTCTCCTTATGCTGATTAAAGTAAATGATTTATCCTATTTAGCCTCTTTGATCAAGGATGTCCTTTAAATCTTTGATCTTGGAGTATAATCTCCTGCGTTCCTCTCGAATTGTTTCATTTGGGCCAGCAAGTGAAATTCATTCAAGTTCACAAGTATTCAGTTGTTTAGTTATGTCACAGACACTTGCTTCTAAGTTTTCTACCTAAAACATAAGAGTTGTGATCCCGCCGTGAGCATTGGCTAAACGTATTTAGAGGCTCAATTCTTTCCTAAAGTATTTTCCCAAAACACACTCACGATTGGCTAACCGTGCTTTTAACTCCTTAATAAATTTACGTTCTTTACTCATAGTTGCGAGCTTATTTAGTAAGGAATGAAAATTTTCAGTAAGAGTCGAATCAGAAGTACTTACCTTGAACTCATCAGATATTGTGATTGATTCTTTGTCTAAGAACGATGATGAGATGGAGTAGACATCCATTTTGATTGTCAGATTTGGATCGTTGATGTGTTCGTTGATTGAATTGATCCACAAGGGTTCTGGACTTTAAGTATGGTGTTTCCCAACTTTGACTTTGACTTGAGGCTTTGAGTTCCTTTGACTTTGAGAATTAACCAAGTTTGACCCTGACGTGTGACTTTGACTCGTGAATTTTGACTCTAATGTTTGACGTAAAATACTTGGACTTCAGAGTTCTTGGTTTATGTTTGGGTAAGCTTTAGTGATGGTTAAGAAGGTTTTTAGATGGGTGGTGAATCCCTAAAGCTTGTACCATAAACTTGTACCGTAAACCAAGTGAAATGCTATAAACCTACTCCTCTATCATAAATTTAGCAGGTTTACGAATGAAGGGGGTTTATGAAATGAGGATGTTTATGGTTGGGAAACTTTAGTGGTGAAGATGGTGTGATGGTTTATGGTTTCAAAGATCAAAGTTATCGTAAAGGTGATTGTTAAACGGCAAACATCTTTGTTCTTTGTACCATAAACTAAGATGTTTTCCAAAAGCTAAGGATAGTGATATTTACTAAAGAGAGAGTTTAAGTTTGAGTGTAAGTTGACGATAGGGAGGAGAGTTTACCGCAATAAAAGAGGCCCAAGTTCACAAAGGCACAAAGCTACTTCTTTGGTTCAAAAACCTTACTCTTAGATTGTAGTGTAAAGGATGAACCTCAATATGTAATTTACGCTTGTACTATGAAGATGCCTTTCTTTGTATAGTAAACTTCAAAGGAGTAAAAGAGTTACGTTTTGCAGTTGAACCGTAATGACTAAAGTTTTGTAGTTGAACCGTAAAGAGTCATTTATGGTAGTCCACTTCTTCCCAAGGACCGTAAACTCAATTTTCGAGGTTCTTCTTCTCCAACCACGAAACTTTAACCCCTTCTTCATAACACAAAAGTTCTTGCCTTCTTGGTCCCTTTCCTCTTAGATCCAAGTAAAAAAGTCATCTTTACGTAAGTTGTTTCTATACAAACATTAGCTATGCGCGTACAATAGGAAAATAAGGTTACACAAAGAGAAAAAACTACACAAATACAAGCAATCTTGTCTGCATATAGACAACTAATGTTTGTGCACAGATATTGATTTTCGTGCAATCAAACACTAACGTTTCTACAAAAAGGCATGCAAACCAGTGTATGTATATAGACAAAAGTTGTTATATGCATACAGACAAAAAATGATTATACTCATACATTTCTTTTGTGCCCATACATTTAATATTTTTCTAATTTAATTTCTTCACACAAATAATTTTTATTAAAATTTAAGAAGACAGACAATATTTTAGTAACGACACAAACAATAATTCATGCGATATTTCCAGTGACTCCAACTCTGGTTGTTTTCCCGATCTTAAAAGGTGATGATTAAGTGAGTAAGATGGAAGATGATATGGTAAAGATGAAAGTTGATGAAGATAGAAGATGATGGAGAATGAAAATGAATAAGATGAAAATGGTGAGGACATGATGTGGTGAATATGGAAGATGATGAAGAATTGAAAATGAGAGGTGTTGCAGATAGAAGATGAATAATATATATGATCAAGATGAAAGAACGAAAAAGGAGACAATCTTATATCTTGGAAGAAAGACAATCCAAGATAGCACTTATACCTGCATACTCAGATGCTTCTGACAGTTTTGATCCATCAGATGACTCTTACTTCTCAGACGATTTCTTGGGACACGAAATAGAATGCGATCGTCGACCCCCTATTTCGGAACAAGAAGATATCAGGGACTCTAAGTTTAATAGAGCGAATTGTTATAAATCTCAATTCATAACCTCAGACAACTGCATTCTGACGGACAACCAGAACACTCAACTTAAAATCTACAACAAATCCCAGAAGAACAAAAGGCATCACACCATGAAGACTATATCTCAATCCAAACAATTTCCTTGGGCCTAAAATCTTTTTATTTTATTTTTCTATTTTGTTTGTGTACTTTCTCTCTGTACTGCTCTTTCTTTCGTTTGTACCCTCTCCTTTTATGAATAAAACCCTCTATTTCCCTTAAAAAGGGGTAAATTTTAAACTTTTATATAGGGTTTGCCAACAACCAAAGATGTACATAAAGGTGTACACCTAATATTTTTGTCAATGATTAGCTAGTTAATATTGTGGCTTGACTTACAACATTATCATTTCTGGCAAAACTATTTTCAAAGTAAAATGTATTTCAATCCTTAGCAACAAGCCTATACAATTCATTCCTCTTCATTTATTATTAATGATATAATATATAATAATTCTCTTGCTTCAAAGCTAGTAACTTTTATTGGCTAATTTGTTTTTTCCAGGTAAAAAGCAAATCAATGATCGAATGGTTAGCTATTTGCTCTAAAATTACAAAAAAGTCTCCCAAAGCAACAATGTAAATGCTCTTAGTAGGTATGCAACAACATCCAAGCCTTAATCCCAAAAGAATTTGGGGCCGGCTAACATGAATCGATCTATGATATTGATGCCAAACAGAGAAGACAGACAAGAAAGGGGAAAAAAAGTAAGATAAAACGAATAAAATAAAGATAAATAAATATAAGATAACAATAACAAAAGAATATAAGAAAGATAAAAGATAAAAATAAAAGAGCATAAAAAAGATAGAAGATAAAAATAGCATAAAAATATAAAAAGATAAAGAAGATAAATAATAAAAGAAAAAAGAGAGGAAAGGTAGAAAAGACATCAATCGTCCACATGAATGTGCGCCCTCCACTTTGCTCTCTCCAAAAACCATACTCACATCCAACCCAAGAAGATGCATACCAGTTTGGGTCTTCCCCTCCCCCTCTTCTCTGCCTCTTCTTCCCGCCCCTCAAGTCATCTAACATGTGCATTACTCGGTCTTCTACGCACATGCCCAAACCACCGCAAACGAGACTCCTGCATCTTATCTTCTATAGGTGTTACTCCCACCTTTTGTCTGATTATCTCATTCCTCAAGCGGTCTTTTCTGGTATGTCTACACATCCAACTCAACGTACGCATCTCTGCCACACTCATCTTTTGAATGTGGCATTGGTCACCGCCCAACACTCTACGCCATACATTAATGCAAGCCTAATTGATATTCGATAAAATTTACCTTTCAATCCTGAAACACTCTTCCATTTCATCCACCCAGCTTTGATTTTATGGCATACATCTCCATCTAATTCACCATCCTTCTGAATTATGGAGCTCAAATAACGGAACATATCACACACCGATATCCCTTTACCATCAAGAATAATCCCACTGTTGCTACTACTTCTACCTTCGCCAAACTTGCACTCCATATACTCAGTCTTGATTCGGCTCAATCTGAAACATTGGGTCTCCAATGTTTGTTGCCATACTTCCAACTTTGCTTTAACACCAGATTATGTCTCATTAATCAATACAATATCGTCGACAAACATCATGCATTATGGTATATCTTCTGGAATTGATTTCGTAAGTTCATTCATGACTATAACAAAACTCTTAGTAGGTATGGTTACCTTTTACTCTATTTAAACTACACTCTAGATCCTTTCGTCTCATTGCATTTTATCAACTTTACTTTTTTAATCGTCTCAAAAACTTCATTATTTTGCATTATACTAATTAGTTTGTAATTCTTTTCATTTCACTCTCCTCAAACAAACCTTAACGACATATTTATCGCTTTTCATATTTTTCACCTATTTCAAAATTTGCGATCTCTCCCCAATGGCATGGAGTTAATATAATTCTTGAATGACCAAAACTGAACTGTATGTATACCCGCCACCACCAGTAATCCAGTACCAGCATTGTCTTCCATTAAAAAAAATCTCCAAATTGACTCCTGCTCCAATTTGATAAAATATCTGACCGATATAGAAACATTTCTAATACACAAATATCCTTTCGTGATTAAGGCATCTCTGCTCCACATAGTATATGACTCAGGCACGGCCGCATGTTGCCTGTTGTGGTAGAAATTTTTATGACCTCTTTACCCTTTGCGTACGGATTAATTATTTTTATACTATTTTATCAACTTTTCATAAAAAAATATCCTTTTGTTGTCCCTAACCCACAAGACATGGATGACATAAAAAGACCATTGGCTTAGGACTAGCCAAAAGAGCCAACTAACACATTTCACCTCCCTCGCGAATCACCATTCACCACCGCCAAAACTATAATATTATTATACTAATATAATTAATATTATTTTCATTTTCTATTTTATTTTGGGCCTTCATAATTCCTCCAATTATTTATGACAAGAAACAGTGCATGTGTAACTTCCATTCATGCTTTCTTTCATAGCGTCTCTTCCCTGTCCGGTTATAAGCTCTCTCTCAGTCTAAGGGGTCAATTATTTTGAGTGGATAAGAAGGTTTGAACAGACTCTTGCTCCCAAATACTTGTAAATGGTAAGGGATCTCTTCCCTTAACTTCCTCTGTAAATATGCTGTCTGGTTTTCCTTCTTTCTTGATTTGATAAAGGTTCTTTTCATGGATAAAGCTGAGATCTTTTGTCAATCTTCCTCAAATTTCTGCTGTAATTGGGTTGTTTGTGGGTTTTCTTGATCTTTATCTTTTTGGTGTTCTGTTTGTGTGCTTATGCCTAGTTTAGGATTTACTTGGATCAGTCATTTGGTTTTAATAACTGTTTGGTGAATCCCAATATAGTAACTTAAGGTGCAGCTTTTACTGCACCATTAGATTTTTATGGGCATGTTTGGAAAAACATTTATGTTATTGAATTTTGGGAGTTATGAATGATGTGGTATATGGGATTGGGGATGGTGAGGCGGCCAAAAAGTCTAATCCATCTGGAAGCACCGGTAAAGCTGTGCAACACTATTGATAGAAAGCAGGTTCTTGTGCTGTGGGCCCAGCAATCTTGAGTGATACTATATTACACTGTTTTCTAGATCTGGGAAAGTCCATGAGGTTTCATCGATTTATTTTCATATGAACTTTTCCTCAAAAAAACAGTTGATTCGATTTTGGGTTTTTTAATTTTCTTAGAAAAATTAAAGCTTTGGACAAATAAAGATCTTGCCTCTCTGTTGCATTTTCTCAAATCTGTATGTATGTTATGACTGTTTATCTGCAATAAAGCCTCCCCCTTTTAGCATTACTTTTTGTTGAATTCCATGTTTTTGCGGTGATCTTCACATGTTTTCAATCTCCTTTTGATGGGATCATATCGACCATTCAGTTTTACACATGTATTTGTGCAGGTACAAGCTTTCTACTCACCAGCTTTCATTATCTAAATTTTCTGAATCAGTGATTGAAGAGTAAAAGCAGGAACAGACAGCTTTAAACTTCTCAAAATGATGATGTTTGACGAGATGGGATTTTGTGGTGATTTAGATTTCTTTGCTGGTCCAATTAAGGAACCAATCGGTTTGCTTTCAGAATCTGCTCCTGGCACTATTGAGACCGAGCAAGCAGTTGTGGATGATGATGACTACAGCGATGAGGATATTGATGTGGATGAGCTGGAGAGGAGGATGTGGAGGGACAAGATGAGGTTGAAGAGGCTCAAAGAGATGAATAAGGGCAAGGAAGGCGTCGATCCGGCAAAACAAAGACAGTCCTTGGAGCAGGCAAGGAGGAAGAAGATGTCGCGTGCACAGGACGGGATCTTGAAGTACATGTTGAAGATGATGGAAGTGTGTAAAGCTCAGGGATTCGTCTATGGCATTATTCCGGAGAAAGGGAAGCCCGTCAGCGGGGCCTCCGACAATCTCCGTGAGTGGTGGAAGGATAAAGTGCGGTTCGATCGGAACGGCCCAGCCGCGATTGCAAAGTACCAAGCGGAGAATGCTTTGATTCTTGGAGGAAATGAAAGCGGGGCAAACCAAGTTGGTCCTACCCCACACACCCTCCAGGAGCTTCAAGACACCACCCTCGGCTCGCTCTTGTCAGCCTTGATGCAGCATTGTGACCCTCCTCAAAGGCGGTTTCCTTTAGAGAAAGGCGTCGCCCCGCCATGGTGGCCCACAGGGAAGGAGGAGTGGTGGCCACAAATGGGTTTGCAGAAGGATATTGGCCCTCCGCCTTACAAGAAGCCCCATGATCTCAAAAAGGCTTGGAAGGTCGGTGTGCTGACAGCAGTCATAAAACACATGTCGCCCGATATTGCGAAGATACGCAAACTCGTGAGGCAATCCAAGTGCTTGCAAGACAAGATGACAGCCAAAGAGAGTGCCACCTGGCTAGCCATCGTCAACCAAGAGGAATCCTTGGCTAGAGAGCTTTACCCCGACAGCTGCCCACCCCCATCATCCGCTTGTGGGACTGGGGGGATATTTTCTGTGCCGGACTGCAGCGAGTATGACGTTGATGGTGTCATTGACGATGACAACTGCTTTGACATTCAAGAAGAGAAGCCAAAAAATCTCAACCTGTTGAGTAATATGATGATGATCAACAATGATTTCACGCGCAAGAGGAAGGCAGACAACCAGGAACTGTCACCTGTTGTTCTGCTCGATGACAACAAGATTTACACTTGTGAGTTCATCCAATGCCCTCACAGCGAGATGCGTCTTGGGTTTCACGACAGACAGTCGAGAGACAATCATCAGTTGAGTTGCCCTCATAGAAACTCGGGAGGGTTTGGAGTTTCTGATTTCCACATCAACGAAGTCGTCAAGTCATCCTCATCTGTAGCTGCTTCATCTTTCCCTCCTAATTCCTTTGACATGGCTGGACTTGGGGTGCCCGAAGACGGGCAGAGGATGATCAGTGATCTCATGACGTTCTATGAGACAAACTTACAGCGAAACAAAAACTCGAACACCAGCGGGATTATTAATAATAATCAGTGTCATCAACCAAACAGCAACAGTTACCTTCAGCAGAATCATAATGGTGGTCTAGTGGGGGGTGGTAACTTGTTCTCTCCTCTCAATGCAAGCTCAAACGCTTTCCCCTTCACTTTTGGGGCTCCATTCAACCTACACAACATTGATTTTACAGATGGTTTATCTTCTGCAGCACAAGATTCCATGTCAAAGAAAGACGCACCAGTTTGGTACTAGAGGGGAGGTTGCACATATGGAACAATTGGCCTGCTTTGCTTTCATCAGGTGGCCTATTTGGTTTCATTCAGTTCTGGTAGTTATTATAGTATTTTCTTTACAATGAAGTCTCTTGTTAGAAGCTGAGGGGCTGTGGTGTCTGGTTTATTAATTAAACCCTTTGCTTACCTTGCTGTTTGTAGTTATCATCTTCAGTCATAATTCCCCATATATATATACTCCGTATATGTATATGATGCCCTCATGAAAAAAACTTGTAGATGTTTCATATATAAGTTTTTCTTGTGTCATTGATATACTCCATAAATTTGTCAACCTTTTATTTAATTTCAGCATGAAAAGCTTATGGGTAGATCACATCATCAGACTGTTGAGGGCGGGTTAAGGAAAGCCATTACTATGTCACTTTCACTTATTTCAGCATGAAAAGCTTATGGGTAGCATTTCTCCATAGTACCTATAAGTAAAGATTGGAGTAATTACTTTAGGCATGACTAGATGTATTGAGGATGGAATAAAGATTTTGATGTGATAATTTGGCACTCTTTCTAGGGGTGTCCCATCTAAAAATGTAGATAGAGAAACATTTTTCCTCATTTTGTGGTTACATTCTATGTCACTTTCACTTATTGGATGTTGAAACATTTGATAACTATTTTATCTTTTTTTTTCGCAAGTGAATGACACATCAAAATGTAATTAGAAAGTGTGGTAGTTATATTTAAAACTCTTTGTAACAAGTAAAAAAGAGATCACAAATGAAAAAAAATGCAAACATTGAGTTATTAGTTCAAAAAAGCTAGCTATTGATGTGATAGTTATATTTTAATAGAGTTATATATGTAGTTAGGGGGTTAGAGTAATTTTACCTATTTACTTTTAAAGAACGTAGTAAATATTTATTTGATAAAGGGTAATTTGACAAAATTACCCATATTCTCTTATTCTTTCTCTAGTGCAACTATAGTCCAACTCATTATATATGCCAAAAGCTTTTAAGCTTTGTTTGCAAACACTACTCATAACTGTCATAAGTGCTTTTGAACTTTTTAAAGTGATTTTGAAAAAAGTGCTTAATAGTAAAAGTTAGTAGTGTTTGAGAAAAAATTGATTTTGAAAAAAGTTAAAGTTGATAGTGTTTGGTAAAATAAGTGCTTTTGTGTAATAAAAAATGTAAAAAGCAGATTCTAGTTTTTAGCCGGGAAATGCTTTTTTTATGCATTTGCAAACGGTACCTTACACTATATGGACAAAATTGGGCTGAAGTCTGGTACTCTGGTAAATGGTAATAGCCCATGATAAATCCGCCCTCCTAAATGCTAATGGAGTAATTTGGACGAGTTGGTACAAAATATATATGCACATGCAAATATTCTTTTGGTTCAATAATCTGAGACGATTTGTTGTAAAGATTTTTATTCTCTAGTGATAGTTTTAGTTTTAGATTGAACTTCTTGTTTGATTTTATCTGGTGCAATTTGTTAAGTCTATTTTTGGTAAATATCAGATTTATGTGTATTTGATTATTGTCTACGTTTGATCACGTGGATTCTAATCCAATGCGGTTAAGTTTGGTCTGCTTTGAAACTGAATCCAAGTGACTCGGCTTGTTAATTGATCGGGTTGGACCAGGAGAAAGTGTTCGAGACCCAAACCAATTAGTTTATATTATGTTTCACACCCGAATGAATAATCAACGGCTCTCGAATAAGTAATCCATATTCGTACACAACAAATCTCAGAAACAGGTGGAGAGGACACGTCTAGATTGATTGTCACATCACCAGAAATGTTTTAGAAAAAAAACACAGCTAAATTGTTACTATTATATATGACAATAAAATTTTAAGGAATTGCTTTAAATAAGACTAAAATATGGTTAAATTTTCAAAATAAGACTTAGGTTTATATTCCCTAAGTTGGATTCCAAATTACATTTATACCCCTCATCCCAAAAGTCATCGATCGACTCTTTCCTTCCTGACTCCTGCGATTTCTCCCTCTCCATCAACCGTCACATCCATCGATTGCAGTCCCTCCTCCTTCCCCTCCCCCTCCTCTTCCCCTACTCTTCCTCCTCCGTTTTGTCTATTAATCTGATTATTTTCTAAATTCTGAATAAAATATTGGATTTACAAGTTTCAGACGAGGAGGCAATTTTCTATACATAACATGTAAAAGAAATGAGTTTGAATTTTGATATAATTATCATTTTTGATTAATTTCAAATATGAGAATATCATAACTTTTATGTACCAGAAAAAAATGTCAGCTTTTTAATCTGAGAATGTGTGTTATTAGAAAAATGTCACTTTTATGGCATTATATTTATAAAGATGGCAACATTGTTTTTAGCTTCTTTGTCATTTTTGGATAATTACATAATATCCTATGAAAAATGCCACAACTATCAATATGAAAATAGCTTTATTTTCATTTAAAATTTATATATTTTTACATTAGAAAATGTCATCTTTTTATATGGTAGTGTCAATGTTATGTCATTATTCCTATGAAGATGACATTCTCACCGGAGGTGTGCAGTGAGTTGTCGGAGGGCGACGACATCGTCGGAGAATTGCGGCAGCTTCGTCGGAGGATGGCGGTGACAGCGACAAAGTTGTTGGGGGGTGTGAATGAGACATGTTCTGTATGATGAGGTTCGGTCCGCATACCATGGCATCATTGAACTAGCCGTTGGGAACGTGTGAAATTAAGTTTGGTTTCATTAAGGATACTTTTGTCATATTGGTACATTTTTTGTCTTCCCACTTGTGCAATTTTACCTTCTCTTATTTCTGTTTAGAGAATTCTCCACAAGTTTATATTCCACGTCTTTTTTGTAAGATACATGATGGATAGTGTACCCGGAGGGTAACTTATCTGGAGGGTTATTACGACTAATAACTTAGAGAGAGGTCAGAGCAAGTAAGAGAGAGAAGGAGTGTATATTTCATATATCAGTTGTGTGTCCATTACAAGGGAAAACGGCCGCTATTTATAGTAGCCATAAATGTTAGGGATGGACACGTGTCAAACATCTGACGACCGAGGGTCACCTCAATCGGGGTGGCACCGGCATTTGCATGTGCACCGCATTAAATGCGGTGATTAGACGTGACACCGCATTAAATGTGGTGGTTGACTGTCTCTAAAAGGAATCTTCGTTGAGTCTGATGTATACCGAAGGCCTACGTGTGGCCGCTGACATCATATGGCTGAAGACATCATGTGGCCGAAGGCATCATATACCCGCAGGCTATATACAGTCAAGGGCATGGAATAGCCGAAGGCTAACATTTTAGCCAGAAATTTCCAGAAGCTTTGCAGGTCCACTTCAAGTTGTCTCCCAGAATTTAGAGCCTTCGGCCATAGGGCCGAAGGCACACCCTGCCTATTATGGGCTGCCTGGAATCTTGTTTGCTGAGCTTGGCCCATTTGGACCTATTGGGCCTGATTTGTTGTAGCGGAAGTATGTGGGCCGGGGGTTCCTGGGCCATATACTCCATCAGAAGTCCCCCACTCCTTTTGTTGAGAGTTTCTCGAAGGAAATAGGAGTAAATGGTGTGAAGTCGCTAATGGCTGCTTTGTTGAAGTTTGTAAAGTAGTGAAACATTTGTGTTTGCGTGTTTTGCCGAGGGTAGTCCCCCAGTCCCCCACATTTTTGGGGCTGAAGGCTTTTGTTGATGTCTTGAGAAAACTTTTAATTTTTTGTGATCTCCCGAAGGGGTTCCCCGGTCCCCCACTCCTTGAAGCACATGTAATGAGGTGAAAAGGAGTAGAGTAATGGACTTTTGCGACATGGAGCCGAGGGCTTACGCCTTTTGGTTCATAATGGGGAGATGCCTCGTTAAAAACCTCATTGGAAAAAACCATGTGGACAAAATCCTAATGAGGGAAAAATAGTACACCAGACGCCCCCAAAATAAAGCAAGAGGGGTGGACCCTTCAGCCAGAGATGAAGGATCACGCTTAGGCTGAGGGCCATTCGTGATCTGGGGAAAGTGGTCCTGAGAAGTCGAAGGCCGCTTGTGATCTGAGGGTGTGACCGTTGTTGCCGAATGCAAGTGATTATTCCGGTGTTGGCCGGGGAGATCCCCCCAGTAACCCATGCCTTCGTGCTGAGGGCTAACTCTGGATAGAGGGTTTTGAGTGTGATAACCCGAGGGCTTGCGTTGTTGTTGTTTGAAGGGTGTGAGGTGAGGCCATCCCAGTGTTTCAAAAATAGCCGTTGGGATATGACCATTAGAGGAGACGCCACGTGGCGTGTTCTGGCTGGCTTGTTTCGGGCGGGTGTCACTGGTTGGTTGAGGTGACGGTTCGTAATAATGGGCTTTTAACCCGAGGCCCAAACCCATGCCTTAACCGCGGTTGGGGAGGCTATAAATACCCCAAGGCCGCACCCATTTGGCCTGTGCGATTTTAAGTTGAAGTGAAGCTCTGCCAATTTTTCTAGAGAGAGAGAGAGACTTTAGATCGATCAAACCCTATTTGTGAGATCAATTCTTCCTCCATTCTTGATTTTCTTGCATATTTCGCTCCGCAAGCCTTAGATCTAGTGTTGGTGGTCTTAGGGTTTCTGTCACCGAACTCCCCAATTTATCGAAAGATGTCGTCGGCCAGTGACTCCCAAGACATATCCCGAGAGCCCTCGGTCCAATCCGAGACGTGGTCCGATGAGAGGTCAGCAGGCGACCAGGCTTCGTCAATTAATGACTCTGTCGTTGTTATGGAGGTGCAAAAGGATCTCTGAGCCGAAGCCGAGGCCGAAGAGTTTGAACAGGTTATTGAGGACGAGGAGCTTGCCATTGCCGTTCATACGGCCGAGGAAGAGGAGGAGAAGGAACAGCGTCGGGTAACCATTGCCATCCCTTCGACCGTTGCCAGTGGATCAGGGACCTCACGCCCCCTCATCCCAGATCCCCTTCGGGCTGCTCCATCAAAGAAAAAGAAGAAGGTGAAAGCAGCCCCCGCGAAGAAGCAAAATGCAGCAGACCATGGGAAACCTTTGGGGATACCCGAGGGGCATTCGTTCTTGAACATTGCTGCCCTCGCACTAACGTCAAAGGTGATCAGGCGGAGTGTTATGTCACACAGCTTCAAGTTGGGCCCTCGGCGACTGTGATAGAACCGGGTCCCAATGATGTGTTGTCCCATGCTCCCGAGGGGTGTTTCCCAGTCCACGTCCTTTCTGTTGCGTTGGGCCTCCGGTTTCCGTTACATCCCTTCGTCCGCGAATACCTTAGGTACGTTGGCTTGGCCCCCTGCCACCTAACTCCGAATAGCCACTCGTATATTACCGGCTTCCTGCACCTTTGCCGGTCTCGGGGGTAATCCCTAGCCTTGACCTTTTCTTCCAAAGCTTCAACCTCTGCCGGGGAGGTCATACCGATGCAGAAGGCTTCACCAACCTGCAACAGGTCCCTCAGTGGAGGATTTTCTCTAATGTGCCCTCGTCCCACAAGGGCTGGAAGGACCGCTTTTGCTACATCAAGATGGCGGAGAATCCATTTCCCGGCGAGTTGCGGAACCACTTCAGGCGCCATCCGAAAGTGGAGAGCATCGCCCTCGAGAAAGATGGGAAGAAGATATTTGCTTTCCCGGAGGGTTCCACTAAACTGGCGACGATCAAGGACTCCACCCTCCCGGA